ATCTTCCATTTCCATCACTCCCCACTTCATTCCACACTTCCATCCCCCCAACCAACTATCCCTAGACCTTATGCTACAATAAAGAGGAAGATAAGAGGGCCTAAACGTTCATACAATTCAAGTTTGAGTTGTTGGAATGTTTAGGTGTTTCTTTGATTTCAAAGTTTAAATTCAATTCTCTTTGTTTTGTACGTATGAGGAATGGAAGAGAAGAGTGCCTAAACGTTCATACAATTCAAGTTTGAGTTGTTGGAATGTTTAGGTGTTTCTTTGATTTCAAGGTTATGAAGAACTAAACCCCCTTTAGCTAGGGGTGATTCGAAACTATGTTTATATTTGCAATACGAATTGATTAACTTTCGTTGTAATTTCATAAGTTGTGGATTCAATTTGTTTAACTGTTTGATTGATAACTTATTTATGTATGTTTATTAAGAATGCGCGCTTAATTTTCATGCATGAATTTGACGCTAGAATATAAGTGAATTTCACCTAATCGTTATGAACTTATATTCACAAGTAGTGGAGGTTGCTTATAAACAATCGCGTTAAACAAATTCTTGGCATAAGTTTCATGCAATCATAGTAACGAATGCCTCGTCAACACTTATAGTTTTCATGATGCTTAATGATTCTTGCTTGTATCTCTATTATGCAATTCATGTAGGGAACTTGTGAGGAATGCTTTGGGTTGTCGAATGATGTCATCCAATTCAATAACATTAGGAAAACTTGACGGTTAATTTAAGCGGACCTAATTAACCCGGGGTGTTGAGTTTCATAATTTATCGAAAGACCAACTGAGAATCAATTTTGTATGCAAGTATAACATGTGTGGAGATGAGCCCCTTGGCTATTCCATCATCCATATTTTCATCTCATTCATATTTACGTTTTGCCTTTAATTACAATTTGTCCATTTAATTTAATCTCGTCCAAACACAATCCCCCCTTTACTTTATTGTCAAATTAGTTAGAAATCAATTTAGTTTGTGTTTTTAAAGAATTTTGAGTCTTTTGGTTTGTCTTAATGTTTTAACGTTTAGTTTCACATTCTTTGAGTCTAGTTTAGTGTTTTATATTGTTTTTACGTTTTTGAGTCAAAATCCAAGTGATTAACAATCCCTCCTAATCCCCGGTCCAGAACGATCCCTACTTACATCCATACTACAATTGTCAAAAAGAGGGTTTAATTTGTGCGCGTATAATTCTCGCATCAGTCATGTGTCACAATCTGATGCTACATGAAATAAAGGTAGACTGGGTAGGCTTGGAGATCAGATCATCATCATTGGAAATGTCTACCCACATGAGGGGTCAAATCATAGCCACTTCTGGAAATTGATTGCCCACCAATTGGAGCCAACATGAAGTCATTGGCTGTCCTTGACTCCAACAACTTAAAAAACCTCATGTATGTTCGTTTGTATATCGTATTTGACCTCTATAAATAGTTAAAACAAACTAAATTACAACATCTTCATCCTATTTCTACTTCTTTTTTTTTCTATCATATTTGTCTTTTCTCTCTTCTTGTAGGAAATACTTTAGTTGAAAAGCCTTGACAATCTTCAACATTACTCCACTATATCCTACATCCACCCTCGACAAGTCTTTACAAATAGTAGTAGTTGTCGACATATGTTGTCCTAAACTTTCGGCATATGTTGACAGGAATTGGCAAGTGTCTACTAGGTGCTCGATGAAATACCCCAATGTGTTGATATTATGACCTTATTATTCAAAAATCTTGGCTACACCACTGGTGGTGCAATCTAGGAAAGCTACAAGGTTTTGACCCCAGCATTGCGATTATTTGTGATATATGAATTATGAAATATATGATCGCCCCTTACCTTCAAATTGTACATGTTTGTTTTTGGACCTAGATCTTTCAAAGTTACAAGGGCATTTTCCATGTGAATTCCCACTTTATGGTATAACACGATCCGATAGTTTGAGATTAATCTATATCTTTCTAAACAAGAATGAATTTGACAATGTTTTTGGAAGTGCATTTTCTCTGTGGCTCGTTTGAAAGTGTTTTCAAAATGATTGAAATCACTTTTAGGGAAAATGCTTTTTTGTTCCAAAAGCACTTGAAGTGCTTCCTAGAAGAAGCACGTAACTATTACTTATTCTAGATTTACTTTTGTTTTTATTAAGGATTGGTTTCAAAAACTTTCGTCAAAAACAATTTCGGTCATTTTAAAAGCACTTTAAAGCGAGTTTTTATACTAATTTGAAATCTTGTTTGCTGACGACTTTTAGTTTTCAAAATTTTGCCTTCACTTTTTTTTTTAACTGAAAATAGTATACCAAACAAAATTTCATGTTTTTAGTTTTAAAAAAAGTTAAAATAAAAACCGAAAAATGAAAATGAAATGGTTATCAAATGACCTCCAAATCAAAAGAACATTGCGCTAGCTTGATTATACATTCATGACTAAAATTTGATTCTTATTTTCTGCCTCACTTGAACATTAAGAAGAAAATGATACAATTATTTGAAACCCTAATATATTCTTAACTACATATGGAGTAACCAAACACTTAGAGATCCCTCAAATTTCTTAGCCCTTCACTACCGACTCCTTCCTTTGGTTGGGGTTGGCATGCAGTCCCCCTTTCTCTTCTTCCTTTTCAATCTCCTATCATTTCATTATGTTTGTGACCTGCCATTCCACTGCTTATGGCTGTTGGTGCAAAATTCAGTTTCTGGATTTCACTGTTATAATCTACGTATTTGTATTATTGAGATTTTATATTATTTTTCAAGAATTTATATCGATTTATTTGAAATTAGATTTTAATTAAACTAGTTACGAAGAGTGAATTTTGGAAAATTATTATTTACTTGTTGACCTTTCGAGGTCACAAGTAACGTTTTCAAATAGATCTCAAACCCACGAACGCATAGGCGAAAGCCGTTTGTGAGTCCGGGTTATAACGGTATAATTATGGACGTTTGAAGTTGTGAACTATATATTGTGGAAATTATTTAATTCCTACATGTGGGTTAAAGGTTAAGGGGAAGGGGGACCAATCAGATTAGGAGTGGGAAAAAAAAAAAAAAAAGAACCAATGAGGAGGAAGAGGAAACGAGAGGGAAAAGAAAAAGAAAAGAAAGGGGATATTTCCCCTCCATTCCGATGGATCCATTTACCCGCGCCAACCTGGAGTGGTTTTCAGCCAATTCCACCATTTTTTTCAGGTAAAATTTAAATATCCATCACCTGCAACCTCTTCCACCATCTCCCATCTTCCATTTCCACTCCAAGTTGAGGGTTATTAGGTCCAAAACCATGTAAAAACTGTGCGGGTGACCCATGGAGCTTTGACGGCAATTCCGCCGTTCCGGTGAGTTTCACCACCCACCACCACCCTTAGTGAACTCCCCTCGAACCTAGGAACAAGACCCAACAGGTTGTAGGGGCGTTGGAACACCGAGAAAGTTGAATTGAAGAACACCCACCTTAGGGTTTTCGGCGGTTCGTGGCTAGTTTGGGGTGTTTTCCGGCCAAATTGGCCTTGGCCGCAGTTATAAGTTTACTCTACTTGTTGAGATCTTTATTCTTGTGAAATTTGAAAATTTTTAGAAAAAGTCAAATTTTCTGATATGTAACATTTGATTTATGAAATGTTGTTGGTTGAGTATATTTTCGATAATGTCCTTCACTTGAATATTCTAACAATTGACGATTTTATCTTTGAATTGACACCAAATTTTAGTATGCTATTGTAGATATGGTTTACGGACCTTAGGGTATTACTAGTGAAAATCTAGTGGGCCTATATTGGTTTGTTAGCGACTTGAATATATGAGATATTATTATCTTAATTTCTTTTATTTGTATCAATTGTGAATAAGAATTGGTCTTATGAATATGATTTCTATTGAAATGTGATTTTATATATTTAGCCATAGACCTGTGTTTATTAAACATGATTTGGCTTGTGTATTGATAAGGATTGTGATATGTGATTTGACTTGCATATTTGAAATGTGGTTGATGTGCATAGATGGTATGATATGATAAAATGTGGGTGACTTTAATATATGTGATATTTGTAATTACCCATGTTTTCATAATTATGATCCGGTGTGGATATGAATTGGTTTTATGAATATGTATCTATTGAATTGTTATTTCCAATACTGAGACATTGATTTAAGTTTATGAAATGAGATTTGATATGTATATATATTGAAATATGGTTTGATTGGTTTGCTTGGCATGTTGTAATGAAATGTGAGGACTAGTGGTAGACCGTTCACTCGTGGTGATGGGGATTTGTTGCTTCGATATGGTTTTATCTCCCGTTTCGTTGATTCGTTCTAAATTTAGTATTTGTGCCTTATTTCCCTTGGTTGAACTTTTGTAAATTAAGTAACTTGTGCTTGTCTCATTTCTTTGAGCCATTGTATATATGGTTGTTGGCCTTTCGCAATTTCATTGAGTGATGGTCCGGAATTGTATCCACTCGGATTCCGTTAAAAGATGGTCTGGAATCCCTCCTACTCCGCAATTCCGTTGAGTAATGGTCCGGAATCATATCCATTCGGATTCCGTTGAGAGATGGTTTGGAATCCTTCCTACTCCCGGATTCCGTTGAGTGGTCTGAAACTCGAGGTTGTTGAATTTCGTGGAGTAGCCTAAAATCCCATTGTTTGGAGAAGTATGCTTGGCCTAACTATGTAACTCTAGCCTTAGTGTTATATATATATATATATATATATATATATATATATATATTTGTGTCAATGGTTTCGAAAGTTTTGTGAATTGAGTTAGAAAAGATGTTAGACGTCTGAGTGACTCATTCAGGATTTTTCATGATTCGATTATGATTTCATAAGGTATGAATTTAAAAGATATGGGAATGATTGTTATTACCTTGATCAAATTAATTAATTAATGCGGCTAGATAATGGTTTTGTGTTTCATCGGTTCTTAAATATGATGTATGTTGTGAATTGTGATATCATAATGAGACATAATGATTTATATGTTGGATGAGAGAGAAATCATGTTTTCATGGGGGTTGGTTATGTAGCCTGAGTCCAGGAATTACATGTTGTCAGGTTATAATAAATGATTGAGGAATGCTATGCTTCTCTGCTTGAACTTAGTAGAATAAACGTCTGGTTTTGTGGCAATGAACTACGAATGGTTTGAACCCTATTTGAGGGTACGTATGCAATCTAACGAGGAGGTTAGATGCAGCCATAAGGTAAACGAAAGATTTCTTTGCAATTTGATTTTCGAATTGTGATTACCATATTCCTGTGAGTTATACGAGTATTTGGGTGACGTCACGTGTCGATCTTGGATGTATGTCGGAATCAGGGCGTGACAGTCGGATTGTAAAGTCAAGACCTTTTTTTCCAGCGTCCTTCGCCATTTACTGGCTTATTTCATTGGTTTTTAATCTCCTGTTTTACTGCCTGCTTTTTCTTCTTCTCCTACATCTTGCCTTTTTTTTAAACCTTAATTTCATTTATTCAGTCTTTTTCTCTCACATCCATTTTTATGATTTCTCCTTGCATCTCCTGACACCTGTATCTCCTACCTCTCCATTAGTTTCCCTTTATTCCTACCAAAAATCAGATTTTCGAGTTCTGGACTCGATTTGGGATGTAGATCTCTATCCTACTGCCCCTTGTTTTACCGGCATGCCAGAGAGTTTTGGCGAAGTGTTATGCGACCTCCGTCATAGTAAGGGTGTTTTACACATCCCCTTGGCCCTCCCCACCCTCGTGTTGTGTTAACTTGGTTCTCTTCTTGCAGGTGTGGTGGTTGGTGGTACGGATCTGCATGGCTCAGTCGGTTGAATCACTTTGAGATTTGATTTTTGCTGTAGAATTTCTTTTTATTTTTGGGTTATTTTGGTTGTGCTTGACTCTTTGCAGATTCACCTTCTGTTTGGTTCCTACATGGCTGTCACTCCAGTGGTTGTTGGCAGAGTTTGGTGGCAGTTAGCTCCTCCTCCTTGATGGAGATTAGGTTTTCTTTTCTGTCGTTTTTTTTCAGTTCTAGGCCTTTGTCAATGGCAAGTTGGGCCTCCCACTTTTTATCTTGGGCCATTGGTTGACTTTGTAATATGTTTTATCTTTAATGAATTCCGACCTTCTCGACCCAAAAAAAGTTGTTTGCTAAGAGAACTCTTTTGGGTCATCTGGATGGGGCTGGTGATTTACTAGGCCTATTTGGGTCATAGCAAGACTTTACTTTGGGCTAGCATTTTCAGGCCTCAGCCTAGTGCTATTTGCTAGTTTTGTCATTTGTTGGGCTGTGGTTTGCCAATTACCAGCCGTCACAATCACTCTAAAAATCTGATTCTGCATTCCTCTTTTTTGAAAATACTAGATAGAACGATACATGATGCGGAACGACTTTTTCGAAGTGTCATTAGCTGCTGAAAAATAAAAGCTATAAAAGTGGAATCTGAAGTATTTTAGAGCGGATAAAGTGTGTATGATTTTGGTGACGAGAAAAGTACATGCAAGTTTGAGCAAGTTTGTAAAGTAAGGAAACCAAAAACAAACTAATTGTTGACTTCAAAACTTTCTTGCAGGAATTGGTAAAGCTCCTCTGCAACCATAGCAGGATACTCCTCTTGAGGAAGAAGAGCACCTGGCACCTCGACAAACTTACTTACTCCCTCAGCTTCCCGGAGAGCTTCCATTTCTGCTTTTGACCTCTTTGGAGATCCTTCGGTTGAGAGGACAATAACTGGTATCTTCCTTCTGCCCATATCCGCAAAGAGTTCAAGAAATTCCTCTCGGGTTTGTACAGGATCAAGGAGGCCAGTCAAGAAAGCAGCGGGTGCGTAGCGAGCTCCCTTCCGCTTTGTCAGCGCATATCTACTTTCGACAATTCCAGGAGTCACACTGTCAGGATTTGAATAGACATGTGATCGGTACTGAGATTCAATTGACTTCTCATTGCTGACAAGCATGTTATACATCATCCAGCCCACAGCAGGGGCTCGTAAGGTGCCTCGAAGCAGTCCATACCTGCAAAAAAATATTAACGAAAGGACTGATCAATCAGGTTCATGGATCATAATAAAACTGGTGGTTCAATATGGTTTCGAGGAAAAGGAACACTTTCCATTGAAGACATCTACATCAAAATCTTAACAATGGCCGAACTATGTGCAACATATAGAAGCAAGGGAAGCATTAACAGCACTTTTCCTCCAGAACAGTTATCCTCAATTTACCATCTTTATCTATTACCCCTCAAGTCTCAAGAACAAGAATCATTCCACACACACACATATATGAGGGTTTCAGATAGAATACCTAGTTTCCATGCTAGAATCTCTACCAAACACAATAGGAAGGGGACCAGCCCACGTGGGTGCAATAGCGGCAATGGCTTTAGGTTTCACAGCACCACGTTTTACAGCACGAATACTTAAAGTAGCTGCATGCCCTCCTCCAAATACCACAAAGTCATTTTCTGGTTGATATCAAGAGACTGTTAGACGAGGTTGACTACGTAACATATGCACAATAGATCAACAGGGCTAGCATACATCTTACTAAAAAGATTTAAACAGTAGTGGTATCATCATAACTGACGATTAATTTCAAGAAGAGAAGTAGTTACTCATCAACCTGAGCCACTTATAGGACCATCAGGTGCATTGATGAAGTCAACCAGAAATTTCTCCATGATATCAGCGGTGTAGTCCATCTTTGGTCTATCAGAGTACCCCAGACCAGGCCAATCAACAATGGTTGCTCGCCAATTAACATTACCGTCTTGCTGAACAAGATCACTTGCTACTGATCTCCATTCTTCAACAGTGCTTACATCCGAAATGGTTGGTATCAAAAGAATGTTTTTAGAAGGACCCTCCCTCTCCTTTTCATGCTCCTCATAGTAGATGTTGATAGAATTTTCCTTGAATTTCCATTGCCAACTATTGCTCTGAAACAAAGTACAATCATTTGTGAGGTAAGGTGACAACACGTTTAAACTGAATTCTGCAAATTACGAACACAACAACATGGCTGACCAGATTATAGTTTCCAAGTGCTGTTTCTTACCATATCAAATAGAATCATACGATATTGCATGGAATCTAACATAACATTAGCTCGCGTTTGAGTTTGATGATATAATGAGTCTCTTAGGTGTAAAAAATACAAACTTTCAACACAATACATGCAGAAAGTAAACTACTTTAAATCTTTTTCAACATCCAATTTCTCATTTCGATATGAAACTACGCATGATTGTTTTTTTTTTTCCTTTCAAATTTCCTAACAAAAAAGCATCAAATTACACGTTTTAATGCTTAAACATACCAAAATTCCGAGTTCATATTGCTTAGTTTTGAGAATTCCCATAACTCACATTAGCAAATTCATTCAATTTTCTCAAGTTTCCAATTCATTCATGATTCAAGAGCATGGTAAAAAAACTGTGTATTGATTCCAAACCCATGTGAAAACTGACAATCTAAGAACAAAGAAAAAGGTACAATTTCAAATTTTCGATCACTGACCTTTGATGGGGCTATAGATTTCTCACCCACAGGGAGCTTGGAGTAGTTTTCCAGGGTGGTTGAAGCCCTAACTGTGAGGGTTTTCTGGAAGCAAGCAGTCCGAGAGAAATTCGGTTTCCGGGTTCCGAACAAAAGAGCACGGGACGCCTGTGAAGGTGCGTAGAATGCTGCAGAGAGCGCCATGGATTTGTTGCAGGAATTGAGAGGAAGATGCTGACCGCTGGTTTCTCTTCTGTAGAAAAATATCAAAGAATCTCAGTTCTGCAGTCAGCACAAGGAATGAGAGATGTGAAAATATCACTAGTGTCCACACAAGTTTTGGAAATATCACTCCGCACCAAATGAGATACAAGTTTGTTCACTTCTTCATATGGTGGTGCCGTTGGCCTCCCTCCCGCCAAACGTTAAATTTTCTCACCTGACTCCTTTGGATAACTTTTTTTTTTTTTTTCAATATTGTATCATAACCACAAGAGTTTGAGAAAACCCCATGAAAATTGTAAATGCCACGAACTTTTCACGAATTAACAAGTGCTTCCTACGAAAGCAATTCCAAAGAGAAGTTCAATTGACGTAGATACTTTCAAAAATCTTGAAAAGTTCCATCTTTGAAGAATGTTTCCAGCACATAAGATTTGTACAATTTTGGGGGGGTCAAAAGCTATACATTTCAAAGAATTACACATAATTGTTGACAGAAAGTTAAAAACCAATTGAGTGAACTTAATTGCTGATCTAGCAGCACTTCAATTTCTTCCACCGAACCATAAGTCGAAATTTTCAATCAATGATACAACTCAAAGCCAAATTCTTGGCGTTCCGTCTTGTCTTTGTGTACTTCTTCAAGTGCTTCGTCAGTCGCCACTCACCAGTAATCTTTGCATGAACAAGAGCCATCCTTGAAGGAGTGAAAACGGCTTCTATCTCTCACAACTATCTCCACTCCATAAACCTTAGAAATCAGCTTCATCACCGTATGACAGTCCCTACAGACCCGTAAATTCTTCACAATCCTTATAATCTGCCCTTCACGCTGTCTTGCCAACCCAAAAGCTACAGCAAGTTTCTCACTGTGCCTGAAAACTGAATCTTCTTTATCCTCTTCTTCTATGTCATGCAAAACACTCCTAACCTCTGGAACATAGCCTCCTTCAACCCTAAGTTTTAACATTATCCCCCGTAGCTTCTCATAAGCCTCTTCTGTAATTTTATTTGATTGTTTACCAGCCATAAAACTATACATGACCCGGTCAACTTCAATCACACTCCATCCTGGAGCTTTCTTAATCCTCTGGTCAGCCATTGATCTTCTTAGAGCAGCAACATCCTTCCACTTCCCTGCAACAGCATATACATTTGACAAGAGAACGTGATCACCAGAATTGTCTGGGTCAAGTTTGGAAAGAGCTTCCTTCACTTGTTCTGCCAACTCAACATTACCATGAATGCTGCAAGCCCCAAGAAGAGTTCGCCAAATAACAGCATTAGGAGATATTGGCAGTTCATGTACAAAATCGTAGGCCTTCTGCAGTTTACCAGCTCGACCATATAGATCTACCATACAACCGTAATGTTCGATAGCTGGTTCTATACCATACAAATCTCTCATCTTAGCGAAATACTCACATCCTTCGTCAACCAAACCAGCATGACTACAAGCATACAAGACTGAAATGAAGGTGATACCATCAGGCTTAGTTCCTGACATTTCCATCTTACGGAAAATTTGTATTGCTTCTTTGCCATAACCATGCATGGCAAGCGCTGCTATCATTGAAGTCCAAGAAATAATACTCTTCTTCTCTGGCATTCTTTCAAAGACCAACCTAGCCATGTCCATATTTCCAGATTTAGAGTAGGTATCCAGGAGCGCATTATTGACTGATATCATCCAGTGTAATCCAGCCTTCTCTACTAAACCATGTAAAATTTTACCAAACTCAAATGCGCCAGCTTGTGCACACGCAGAGAGTACCCCGGTCAAGCTCGCCTCATTTGGTCTAATTCCCTCCCGCTGTAGTTCCCTGAAAAACCCAAAAGCCTCATCAAAACAACCACTCTGAGCAAACCCAACTATCATAGTACTCCAAGACACATCATCTTTCATCGGCATCCTCAAAAATGCCTTCTTGGCAAGCTCGAGCTCATCCGTTTTCACATACCCTGAAAGCAAAATGTTCCAAGACGTCAAATTCCTCAAAGGCATCCAGCGAAACATCGCCTCCACACCCTTCGCATCCCCACACCGAAAACACGCGGTAAGAATCGCATTCCACGCGACCACATTTGGTTCGCGCATTTCCTCAAACACTTGTCGAGCAAACTTAACACGCCCACATTCAGCATACATACTAATCAGAGTTGTCCCAACAAAAAGATGGGTATCAAGCCCACAAACCAAAGATTGACAATGGAGCCCCATCCCATCTCTCAAACCCCCGCAATTCGCCGCCGCCTTGAGTACGAACGCGAAAGAGAAGCTATCAATCGGGTCAGTCAATTTCCGACGCATTTCAGCAAACACAACAAGCGCATCATGCGGAGTATCCGATTCAGCCAGCCCGCGAATGAGAGTATTGTACATGAAGGCATCTGGGTTTCGAAAATGAAGGAAAAGGCGGCGAGCGTAGCGGAGAGCGTCGGAGATTGTGACGGCGCAGTGGAGGAGGAGCTTGCCGAAGACAAAGGGATGGGCGTCGAGGCCCGTCTTGGATGCAAAGGCGTGAACTTGCTTCACGGTTTTGAGGGTCTTGCACTTGCTCAGAAGAGACACGCAGAGCTGCTCCGCCGTGTTCATTGTCAGCTCTCATACTCCATAACTCAAAGGCGCAGGCTTTTTCGCGGGAAAAACTTCCCAACATCAATCGCAATCGATAAATTACAAGTTTCGGTGGAACAATTGGGATTTTCATCAAACCATAAGGGTATATAAGCAAACAAGCCAATAAAAAAATGAAACAAGTAGAAATCATGACCGTTGAAAGAGAACACATGACAGCCGTTGGATCGTAGGGCAACTGAATATCCTCTCTCTCTACCTCTAGGGCTTGTACTTTCTCGCTCTACCCCCAAAACGCAGTTGTTCTGAGTTAACCTAGAGAGAGGGAGAGAGATTGAAGATGGTTCAGAGGCTCACATACCGTACGCGCCACAGCTACGCAACCAAGTCGAACCAGCATCGGATCGTCAAAACCCCTGGTATCTTTACTATCCTTAATACATAGTTAATTATATGTTCATATGAGATTAAATGATGGTGCTTTTGTGATCAAAGTGCAAACTTTGAGTGTTCTTCATGTACTTTGGCTAATTAAATTTAATTTCTGGGGTTTTTTATATGTTATTTTGTAAAGAAATGATATGATGCGGCTGTTAAATCTCAAAATTTTGAGATTTTGATCGATCCAATTTCACAAAATAGTCTAGTAGTATGAAAATTTGTGTTCTTTTTATGAAATTTCTGTGATTTGAGATAATGAGTAAAAATTGAAAGAAAAACTAATGAAAATGACTTCAAAATTTTGAGATTTAACGATAAGGACAAAATAAAGAGGGAAGTGAAATTGACTTTTTAGTGTAAAAATGTAGTTTTTCGTTAAAGTGAACAGTACTGGGAGATTTCGTTAAAATTCCCAAAATTGAAATGGGACTTCAAAATTGATGAAAATAAGAATCTGCATTGTTTACAGTTATGAAGTCTTAATTTCTAAGAGTGAGATGGTTACCGTATAATTGTTTTTAAAGGTTACATTTCCGTACTGGTTTCGACTCGCTAAATGCCTGTTTGATTGTAGGTTTCTGAGTTGTAGTAATGGAGAAATGTTTGAAACAATGCTGAACTTTAGTTTATTTGCTCCATTTGTATGTCATCGATCATAGTTTTATTTGGGATCATAATCTATTCGTTCCTGCAGTTGCGTTTTAATTGTATTATAAAGTTTTATATTCCGTTGGTTTTGTGTGGGTTTCGCTTATTCCTGCGCTTTGATATTTAGGTGGAAAGCTCGTGTATCAGACCAGTAAGAAGAGAGCGAGTGGACCAAAATGTCCTGTTACCGGAAAGAGAATCCAAGGGGTGAGTTGATTGTTTGGGGCTATGACTTGTTTTGGTTCTAAGTTCTAACTATTGTTTTCCGTCTTTTGATCACGGATTTCTATTTTTTTCAGCAAGAAATGTGTACCGTATATGGTATTGACTTGGTGTTGTAATTACTAATTAGGAAAACAAGGATTCACATTAAGCATTTTTGTATATCGCATATTGTTGCTAACACTGCAAATCAAAAATTTTGTGCCATTTCTTCTTTTATATGGTTGCGTCATATGTATGGTTAGGAGTAGATTATTTCATGTTGAGCTTAACTTTGTCACAATTAGTGTTTTATGGAATGTTAGGGATGCCATGTTGATATATGTTGACGATACAAAGTATGTTGTATTTCCTTTTTCCTTCCAATTATAGTTTGCTTTCTGTTTCCTTTCTTGAGAAACTGTGTTGTGGCACAGCCTACCCTTTGCTAAGTTGTCACTCACTGCCATATGCAGATTCCTCACTTGAGACCCGCTGAATATAAGAGGTCTAGACTATCAAGGAACAGGAGGACCGTGAATCGTGCCTATGGGGGTGTGCTGTCCGGTGGAGCTGTCAGAGAGAGGTTTGTATTTCTATAAGTTTTACTTATCGAGTTGTGTGGTTTGTTTGGGCTCATCCGACTATATTTCTTGTAATTGTTGGCATTGCAGGATCATCCGAGCCTTTTTGGTGGAGGAGCAGAAGATCGTGAAGAAGGTTTTGAAGATTCAGAAGGCAAAAGAAAAGCAGGCGTCCAAAAGCAAATAGAAAGTGAACTATTCCCGTGATATGCAAGCGAGAAATTTTGACTAGTATTATGAGATGAGGAAAAATTGTTGGAACCATATAATTTGTTGTCATCTTTCCGTTAAATTTGAATGAGTTTCTTAGCTAACAGCATCATCTCAAATATTCTTATTACGTTTTCAGCTCCTTTGTTCTTGTGCACACAATGTATTAGATTCGGATGGATACAGATCGAAAATATGAGCTTTGTAAGGGCCAAACGTTGCAACCGTCAGTATGTCCAGGAGGCCCAGATCTCGCCATTGGTGAAAGGATCTCCGCCGTGAAGATACTCCATTCCTTCTTCAAACGCTCCCAGCCGCGCAAACACTTCCTCGAGCGCTTTCTTTTGTGCTTCACCTTGACTTCTCGCCACTTGGCTCGTGCCCTCGAACAACTGCATCAACGGAATTAAGCATGCTGATGATCGAAAAGACAGACAAACATAAAAACAATGACACTGACTCACCTGTTGCTGGATGTAGGAGGCCTAGAACCGAACTTTGGCTCGTCCATAAGGATCTTCGGGCACGATTTTAGGAGCGCTGTTCCAAGTTTCATCAATGTATTCTAGGACGATGTACGTTTCAGCAATCGGTTTTCCATTGTGGACGAGTACCAGAACGTTCTTGTGAACTGGATCGTACTCGAGTAGCAGCTCGCTCTTGCTCAAATCTTCTGCGGTGTACTCGTAACGTACGCCTTTAAGCCGGAGAGCCAGTTCCACTCTCTTAGAGTAAGTAGTAGCCCTCATCCCGTGTAGTTTTACTCCGTTTTCGCCTTCCATCTCTCCCACTACAAGCAACGGCTAGTTTTCTGGGTTCGAGTCTATGAGACTATAGTCAAACAAATGACCTCAGATATGCTTTTGGGGTAAGGAAGGCATGATCTTTGAAATTTGACCATCAACTAACAAAATATTAGTAACTGCACTTTTCAAAATTATTTGCACTCAAGGTCCCGAATTCAATTTTTCCTCCTTTAAATATCGACTGTTAAAAGACTCAAAATTATTTGCACTCGAGACTCTGAATTCAGTTTCCGCTTCTCTACATATCCGATTGTACAAAAAGGTTCTCTAAATATCCGATTGTACAAAAAAGTAGCAGCGAAAATGGAAAATTTAAAAAAAGAGGAAAAATAAATTGTCAAGAATGGGATTCGAACCCATGCCCTTTCGGACCAGTACCTGAAACTGGCGCCTTAGACCAACTCGGCCATCTTGACATCTTGCTATGTATGGACGCTAGCATTAAATTTAAAATATTGTTATCTTATTACAGTTTGACCCATTCCCGCGTTTCTTCAAAAGGTCTGTGACTCTGCTCTCCCTTCCCTCTTCACGAACCCAAATGAATTCTCTCCTCAATCAAAAACTCACCTTCAGAATCTCACTCTCAACTCTCAAGTTTCTATCTTCGGTTGCCGTAGCGGAAAACTCATCTTTTTTCCCCATCGAAAACGACCGAATTCCCAGTCGATTTGACCCGGTTCAGTTCTTCAATGAGTGTGCAAAATCAGGACAGTGTACTGCTAAAGTCACTAAAATCTTCCACACCCATTTGATCACAACCGGTTTACTTCAATCCGATATCTCGCTCGCAAATTCATTGCTCGATTTGTATTGTAAGTCTGCTGCCATGGTAAATGCACTCAAGCTGTTTGATTTAATTGCTGACCGAAATGTTTTTTCATGGAATATCATGATTTCCGGTTATAACCACATTTCGTTATTTGAGAAGGCATGGGAAATGTTTTGTAGGAAGCATGCTTCGGGTTTTGGGCCCGATGAGTTTGCCTTTGGGAGTGTTCTTTCAGCTTGCATTGCCTTGCAAGCTCCTATTTTTGGGAAGCAGGTCTATTCGCTTGCAATGAAAAATGGGTTCTTTTCGAATGGTTATGTTCAGTCTGGAATGATAGACTTGTTTGCGAAAAATTGCAGCTTTGAAGATGCTTTGAGGGTTTTTCATGATGTTTCATGTCAGAATGTTGTGACTTGGAATGCTATTATCTCTGGGGCTGTGAGAAATGGAGAAAACAGGGTTGTGTTGCATCTTTTTCGGAAAATGTGTCGTGGGTTCCTCTTGCCAAGTAGTTTTACATTTTCTAGTGTTTTAACCACTTGTGCTGCACTTGAAGAAATTGAAGTTGGGAAGGAAGTTCAAGGGTTGGTGATTAAATGCAGTGCAAAAGATGTCTTTGTTGGGACTACTATTGTAGATTTATATGCCAAATGTGGAGAAATGAATGCTGTGGATCTGTCTCCCTAGATTTAAACAGTCTACAATGCTCAAGACGCTGGAAGTACAAAACTTATCGGGTCTCATGCTTTCCTGTAACATTCGCTGGAACAATTCAATTGCCCTTCCAGAATTTTGACTCTGGGCAAAAGAAGATATTATTGCAGCCCATGTGCCAAGATCCTTTATATTTTCCATCTCTCTGAATACCATCTCCGATAGATCGACTGCTCCTATTTTTGAATATGTGTTAATTAACGCTGACCCCACAACTGAAGCTGAATACAATCCAGATTTCAAAATCAATGAGTGAATTTGGGTTGCCTCTTCAGTCATGGATGGTTTAGCACATGTAGTAAGTTAGTCATGGATGGTTTAGCACATGCAGTAAGTACACTCGTAACAGTGTACTTATTCATTTGCTCTCCGATTTTTCTCATTTCTCTGAAAAATTTGATGGCAGAAATAGAATCGTCCTTATGCACGAAACTGGAAATGATGGTGGTCCAAGAAACCACATTACGAGTTGTCATACGTGAGAATTCCTTCTTAAGAGTGGGTTATTTAATGTCTCTGTTGGTAGTTCTCTTTTCACAATGTACTCAAAGTGTGATAGTCTAGAGGAATCTTACGAAGTTTTTCAGAAAATTCCTGACAAAGACAATGTTTCATGGGCCTCGATGATTGCAGGTTTTGTGGAACATGGTTATGCAGATCAAGCCCTTCAGCTATATAGAGAGATACCATTAGAAGAAATTGTACCTGACCAAATGACTTTAATAGCAATTCTAACTGCATGTTCTGCTTTGTGTTCCCTACAGACTGGTAAGGAAATTCATTGTCATGCTCTTCGCATAGGAGTTGAACAAGGAATACTTGGTGGGGCAATTGTGACCATGTACTCAAAATGCGGTGCTCTAGAATTGGCGAGGAGGGTGTTTGATATGCTTCCCCAAAAGGATGAGGTTGCATGCTCCTCCTTGGTTTCAGGGTATGCCCAAAATGGGTATGTCGAAGAGGCACTTCTGCTATTCCATGATATTTTGATGTCGGGTTTGACTATTGACTCCTACACAATCTCATCCATTCTTGGGGCCCTTGCACTTTTGAATGGATCAAGTATCGGGACTCAACTGCATGCTCACATCACGAAAGTTGGCTTCAATTCACATGTTTCTGTTGGCAGTTCACTAGTGACAATGTACTCAAAATGTGGAAGCATTGAAGATTGCCTCAAAGCATTTGATCAAATTGAGAAGCCAGATTTAGTTTGTTGGACAGCTATGATTGTGAGCTGTGCTCAACACGGGAAAGGTGCAGAGGCTTTAAGAGCATACGAGCTTTTAAGGGAACAAGGAATCAGGCATGATTCAGTGACTTTTGTCGCACTTTTATCTGCCTGTAGCCATAATGGATTGGTTGAAGAAGCTTATTTCTACTTTAATTCAATGGTTAAAGACTTTGGACTAAAGCCTGGTGACCGTCACTATGCCTGTCTGGTTGATCTTCTTAGTCGATCGGGCAGACTGAACGAGGCTGCAACATTCATTGAAAATATGCCTATTAAACCCGATGCTTTAATATGGGGAACACTGCAGGCTGCTTGTATAGTTCATGGCGATACGGAGCTTGGAAAGCTAGTTGCTAAAAAGATGATTATGGAGTTGGAGCCATCAATGGATCCCGGCGCATATATCTCCATTTCAAACATGCATGCAGATGTAAGCCAGTGGGATGAAGTCCTGAAGATTAGAAGTCCTGATATGAGGAAGGAGCCTGGTTTGAGCTTTTTGTGAACTCTTCGTTTCATACTTGGTTTCTCATTCCATGTTTTCGATGGTTCTGTATAGCGAAATACAGTCTCACATTAGAATGAAACATGGGACACTTTTTCTTACTGCACATAGATTTGAAGAAACATGCCGAGGCGCGTTTAAATTTGGGATTAAACAGATCAGAGGTTAGTTCGAAAACCAACTAATTGGAGACCAAGCATTACAAATGCAGATGGTTGAACACAGGGGATGCATTGTAATGGTTTCTGTAGCTAAAATTTCCCTATATTGGGGAAATTAGGGTTCCAATTGCAGAGAGTTGGAGACGTGAAGAAGAAGTAACTGGGGTTTAATCCCCTGCAGCGGGAGTTTTAAGTTCCGTTTGGTCGAGAAACAACTATGATCCCACCACGTCATCTTATATAGTGGGACCCAATAGGGAAAATGCTTGTGCCAAATGAATGAGTGCACTGCACTATCAATACTTGTACGAGGAAAATAAATATGAAATTTTGATAAAAATTAGGATTTATAAATTGAAAAATATTAATCTCTTGTTTGAATTCATAAAAATAGGAATTTAGAATTTCTGGATGAAAAAAAACTTAGAATTTGAGATCTTCAAATCTCAAGTTCAAATTCTATATAAATAAGTATTATTTCTCAATTTCTATGATTGAGAGTTTAAAAATAACAAATTCTATATTCAATTTCATTGTTTAACCAAATAAAAAAAAATTTACAAATTCTAAAAAATAAAATATTTGTCATTTCAAATTCCATCGATTTTAAAATCTTGGTAATCTTAAATTTCTTTCACCTATAAAATCCCATTCGCTGCCAGACCCAAAAACCAGTGTTTTCGTCTCCGATCGTTGAAGCAGGGAGAAAGTTTGAAACTTTTAGAGAGAGAGAGAGAAAAAAAATGGGGGCGGCGGGAGAATGGCTGGAGAAGGCGTTGGTGGATCTATGCCGGAAGATGGAAACCGGGGGTTTGGATAAGGATATGATATCGGGTTTGGTCTCGTACTGTGAGCTCGCCGATCCTCAGGACGCCAAAGAGTACCTCGACGTAAGCCCAATTTCTTACTTTTTCTCCAATAACTTTGTGCAAATTCTTAGAATTTGTGTGTGTAAAAATTAGAGATGATGTTTATATTGCTATTGGATTTGTTGGTTTTTATTTTTTTTAACCCAGTTCTTGATTGCAATTTGGGATTGTGATTCACCAAATGGGTTCGGATGAGAAAGCTTCCGTTGTTGTTTTGGGAAATTCAAATTAACAATTTCTGGTGTTCTGCTGGAATACATTTAAAATTTGGCAAACAATTTGGACCGGAACTGGAACAATTGAGTATTTCCCTTTGTCTTATGGGATTCTTGTTTTGGACTGGACTCGAGACGAATGCTAGTGTATATCTTTCATCTATGAAATCTTGCACTGTCACTGAACCGAAGAATGAGATGATTGTTTGTGTAGTTCGTTTACTTGTACAACCGCGTCTGGTGTACATGTTTGTATGTTGGTATTTGAGATTGGATGTTTTTCCATGCAGAACATCATTGGGCAGGAGGTGGGCAAATCTGTGATTGAGGAATATCTACAGAAACGAGGTCGCTCAGATCTTTGCAGCAGCACCGGGGTTGTTCCAACCTCAAGTTTGCATGCCTATGTTAAACCACCCTCAAATGAAGGTTCTGCAAGTGGGTCCAAGAAACCGTTGAAAACTCCGAAAGTGGCTAGAGACCCCAGTGATCAAACAACTTACAGCAATCAAGTAAAGCAGGTTCCAGCTAAGACCAGCGAGTCAAAACCCACAAGTAACACGAACCAAGGCAACTCTAAGAAGAAGAAAGCTGGGAAAGTTGTTTCACTTGCAGAGGTTTCCAAAGGATCAGTTGTATTCAACCAGGGGAAGCCATGCTCATGCCAAGCTCGTCGCCACAGACTTGTGAGCAATTGTTTATCGTGTGGGAAGATAGTCTGTGAGCAAGAGGGCGAGGGGCCTTGCAATTTTTGTGGAGCTCTTGTGCTGAAGGAAGGCAGCACGTATGCTGGTTTGGAGGAAAGTTTCACTCCCACATCAGATGCTGAAGCAGTAGCAGAAGCTTATGCAAAGAGACTCGTTGAGTATGACCGAGACTCTGCAGCACGAACTACAGTTATTGATGACCAAAGTGACTACTATGAAATTGAGGGGAATAGTTGGTTGTCAAAGGAGGTTTGTAATTTCTGTATCTCTTTTTGCAAAAATTAAACAAACAAAATTTGTGTATGTTTGTATGTTAAATTCACTCGTTTCATCCCTAAACCTCTTTTTATTACTTCCAGGAAAAGGAACTTCTGACAAAGAAGCAGGAGGAGATTGCAGAAGCTGAGCGGATCAAGCGAAGTAAAGTAGTTGTATCTTTTGACTTGGTTGGTCGCAAGGTAATTATAACTTCGCTGATTGTGTGCTTGTACAAGTACGATATGTTGTTGTAAAACTTTTTTCACGAGTATTGCTGCTGGACACTACTCGCAATGACTTGTTCATGCTGATTTTTCTTAACTCCTTTCTAGCTCCAGCGGTTAAATTTGTCATGAGAATATCTATTCTTCCGTGTTGCTTTTGTAGCCTTGACCCCGCATATTCCTAAACGTGCATTGTTCCCGTCTAATATTTCGCGTTCTGCAGGTCCTTGTAAATGAAGACGAAGCTTCTGAAGTAGAATCAGAAAGCAGAATATTGAGGCCCCGAGATGAAAAGGAAGTGAACCGCATCAGACCAAACCCTTCTCTTAAGGTACAACCAGTATTTGTGGATCCAGGCCCTGGTAAGAAGCCTGTTCAAGGCAGGAAGTCAAACAAGACCCTAACAAAAGGCTTGTGCTTGGAGATTACCGGGAGGGTGCAGCACGTCAGCGATGAATTAAAACATCTTATGGTGGATAATCAATTAGAAACAGCTTCAAATGGGAAGTTTTCGCAAGGGACGCCTGTAAGTGGGGGTACGCTCGATGATGATGGAGAATGCTTTCTGGATTTCCATTAAGGGAAATTTTTGGAAGGAGCAAAAGAACAAAAGATGAATGAAATATACAAGTTCCATTTTCATTGCTTGTAATCTTTGAACATGCCTTAGACCAAAAAACGAAGAAGATTCGGTGTATCATTTTCAGGATTTAATGGTATAAAGATCGTTTTAACTAAATTTTGTCATTCACACTTTGTTTTAACGGATCCAGAATCGTTTATGCACTCATACAACTGAAACTGAAACTCAAAGGTGGAGACATGAGCTGTGTTGAATTCCCTTATGCTCAAACATGGTCCCAAAACTTGGATTTTCATGTGATCCGTTGAAGGTACCAATATGAGAGGAGGAATCAAAGTCTACCCTGCTGCAAACTGTAGCTGCTCAATAACGGTTCACTCTGTTAAATCTGAAATGGAGCTTTTACCTGAGATTTTCGTCACTTTCCTAGTTGCCATCAAGCTTCTTTCATTTAAAACATCATCCCACCTTCCTGCATCAGCAAGAATGTTGGAAGAAGTTACATGATCTTCGGCACCACGATGCAGTGTTTTCAGTTCTGTGAATCCACTAACCAAATATAATCCCCTATCAAAATCGCCATGAACTCTACAAGCATTAATCAACATCCTCCAAACAACTGCATTTGGTTCAACAGGCATACTCTTCACAAACTTGTAGGCCTCCTCTAGCCTTCCTGCTCGTGCGTACATATCAATCACGCATCCGCAGTGCTCAATTGTGGGCTTGATATGGTAAGACTTGCACATTGCGTTATACAAGTTCAGACCTTCATCAACCAAACCAGCATGATCGCAAGCTGATAGAACACTGATGAATGTAACTGAGTTTGGTTCAACTTTCTCAGCACACATTCTCTGGAAAGCAAGAAGCGCTTCCTTTCCTTCACCGTTGATCGCATGACCAACTATAATTGAAGTCCACGAAACAACATCTTTCCGTGGCATCTTATCAAACACAACTTTAGCTCGGGTCATGCTCCCGCATTTTGCATACATGTCTATAAGAGCATTGTGCAGAACAATACTCCCTTGATGACGATTACTACTCTCTACGTAAGAATGAATGTCGACTCCATTAGACAAATCCCCTGAGTTTCGGCAAGCTAAGATTAACCCTACCATTGTTGTTTCATCTGGCTCTAGCTTTTTAGACTGCATCTGACTGAAGAGCCACAATGCCTCTTGATTATGACCGCATTCGACAAATCCATGGATCATAGAGTTCCACAATGCAATGTTGTCATCCGGTGCTTCATCCAAAACTTTTTTAGCATACGCTATTAGTCCACATTTGGAGTACAAGTTAATCAGTGCTGTCCGAATAGCTACAGTTATTTTTGTTCCATTAGCTGTCATATACCCATGAATCATCTTCACCATACCAAGCTCTCTACTATTACAAGCAGCCAAAATCAAACTTATCAGCGATACTCTATCGAATCCAACGTCCCCAGCTCTCATTTCTCTAAACAAAAAGAAAGCTCTTCTACAATCACCAACTCCAGCATATCCTGCAATCATGGTATTCCATGAAACCAAATCCCTCTCAGGCATCTCATCGAACATCCTTCCAGCTTCATCTATATGCACAAACTTCGAATACAAATCAATAAGCACATTACAAACCTCGTTTACCAAATCCAAACCCGCCTTATAACAGTATGAATGAAGTGCCCTTCCCACATTAAACTTATCAAAATCCACACACCCTGAAATCAAAACAACCAAAGTAACATAATTCGGCTTCAATCCCAAACCAAAATCGCAACTCAAAACTCGGTTAAACAAATCCAACGCCGCACCAAACAAGCTGTTCTTCACAAAACCAGAAAGCATACAATTTACTGTCACAACAGTCTTCTGAGGAATTCTATCAAACACAATGCAAGCACATCCCACCAAACTCTTCGAACACGAATAAAAACTAACTAAACTGTTCAACAAATTCACATTACAATCCAAACCGATCCTAACAGCTTGGCAATGCACAGACTTCCCTTTCCGAAAAGCGGATAATTTGCTACAACCCTTGATCAAAGAAGCAAACACATAAGGATCAAAAACTGGGTCATTACGTTTTAGCCTCTGCATTTCTTTGAATAAAGCGAAAACCCGAGAAGGGTCGGCGTCTAAGCTGAGCCGGCGGACCATGACGGGCCATGCGGCGGCATTGGGTGTTTGTGCGTGGGTGAATAAGGCTGTGGCGTGGTGGAGAGTTGAAGGGGTTGAGAGAGAGAGGTTGAGGAGTGAGAGAAGGCATGAGGGGTCTGAGTGGAGGAGGCCGGTGGTGGTGAGCTGGGCCTGGATTTGAAGGAGGTTTTGGAAGGAGAAGACGGCGGGGCTTTGGTGGAGAAGATGGAAAAGTCGCTGTCCTTGGCGGGGGAATGAAGCGCTCATCAATCGAATCAGAGTGCCGGTTTCTTTGTTTGTTCATAGGTTTTTGTCTTGAAAACATGGCAAAGGATAAATTTTGGAAACTACACAAATCTTTAGACTAGTTAACGACATTTTACCTCAATTGCAGATGAGAATTAGGTAAGTTCGTTTTTGTGTTCGTCTTCCTCAACTCGAGTTTAAATTCAACGTAGTTTATTTCATAATCATGTGAAAAAAGTAAAAAAAAAAAACATTAGCTGAATTATTTGAACTTTAAGAATTTTAATTAGTCGATAAATATTTGAGCGTTCTCGAGTGAGGTTCGAGCACTATTTGTGAGGGCTCGAGAAATGTTTGAGTATGCATTAAGCCGAGTCCTTATATTTCTAAATCTTAATAAAAGAAGCCTCAATGTCTTTAGTGCGTTAGTGAAAATGATCGAGAATACCTCGAGTTAGAGTCGTTATATTTCTAAATCTTAAGAGCAAGTCCATTCCTAAAAAAAATGTGTTGGCATTTAGCTCATATAATCCACTCAGTGAACAGTGATAGGCTCCATGAACAGTAAATTGTACAAACGCTTCTGCACGCCTACAAAATGCGCTGGCACCCAGCCTATTTATTAATTTTTTTTTTATATGTGACATCCCACATCGCCTAGGGGAGTGATCCTTATATGTATATTCTCATCCCTACCTAGCACGAGGCCTTTTGGGAGCTCACTGGCTTCAGGTTCCGTAGGAACTCCGAAGTTAAGCGAGAAGGGGGCTAGAGCAATCCCATGATGGATGACCCACTGGGAAGTTGCTCGTGAGTTCCCAAAAACAAAACCGTGAGGGAATGGTAAGCCCAAAGCGGACAATATCGTGCTACGGTGGTGGAGCGGACCCGGGAAATGGTTCGCCCCGGGCCGAGATGTGATATTATAAATAATAAGTTTTATTTAAATATAGTTTTAATTTCAGATAGGATTTTATTTAGTGTATTTTGTTAAGTTTATTTGGTGAGTTTATGTAATTTTATTTTCTATGTTTTTTTAAGTTTATTTTGGTGTGTATAAATAAAGTACTATAAATTACATAAAGTACTAAAACTAAATAAGAAATTACATAAAGTACTAAATATAAAGATGAAATTAAATAAAGTACAACAAATAAATACGAAATTATACTAAGTCAGTGGAGCTAGGATATGTGGTGCTAGGATCTTCGTTGCTAGGATCTATGTAGCTAGAACCCCCTCGACTTGTTTATGCGTCTCTTGCACGCCTCATTCGCACCACGTCTTTTTTTTTTTTCTTATGTCCAAAAATATTTTGAATTCGGAGACAGTCCAACTAGAGGCTTGTTCATAGTGTCACGATCTGCTTGAGCCATCCTTTCTTCTCTAAGCATCTTGTTTTCTCGATTAAGTGTTTCTCTAATCATCTCGTTTTCTCGATTCAATATTTCTCTTTGTCTCTCAGCCGCCACATCGCATCACTTAGTAGCTGCTAATATTGCTACCATAGTCACATCATTTTCCTCATCTCTAGCCGCTTCTCGTGCCACATTCAGTTCACCTTGGCAAGCAAGTTCGTCCATATATTTTGTGTAGTTATTTTTGGAAGAAATCTATTTTTTCTTTGCCGCCTTTTTACCTTGGGGCCTTAGGGACCGATGAGTTGCATGGGTCTCCGGCACTTCGTCGGGCATCCATTCCGACACTTCTTCAAATGTGTCTTCTTCTTGTGCAGCTATGTCTAGTTCTGGCGAATCGTGTAGAGGGACGCCGTGCATGACAACTTCTGGACATGTTGGCACAATTTTGTATCTGGGACAATTTTTGACAATTTCCCAACATTTTCATTTGTTGTGGTTCTTCAAATTGTAGAATGCTTGTGCTTGTAGTGTCTATAAAATGTGGGATAAGACAATATTAAAATGCGGGTGTAACACAAACAAATAAATTAAAATATTGATGCGGGTGGAATACATATAAATAAATTAAAATATTGTCACCTGATTCGCTAAACTTATCCCACTACGCAAATTACCAGAAGCAATCGAGATAGCATTTTTCCAACAAGTAAAGGATGTGTTGAGCTTTTTCCAACGCCCTTGAAGACCTTGACTACTTTTGGCGTCTTTTCCATGTATAACGCAAAACACTTCCATAATTCTAGTCCACATTTCTCACAACTCCATCTCATTACCCGTAATTGGGTCATGAGTAGTATGAACCCAACATTCACACAATGTAATATCTTTGATGAGCTTCCACGTAACCTTTTTTTTTCACACAAAAAGTATTTGAAAGCTCTGGTAGAAAGTGTTGAAAATATTGAAATGTGGTGTAAGGATGAGGATGATGGTTAGGTAATTATAGAAAACAAAAAAAAAAATTAAAATAATTTTTTTTATTTTTTAACAATTTTTAATAATTTTTTATTAATTTAGTTAATTAGTATGGACCGCTAGATTTGAAAAATGTTCAAATCCAACAGCCTATATGTTGACACGTGGCCAATGATCATAATTCTAACCGTTGTGCCTTTTTTTAAATTTTTTGTGGGGAAAAACATGGACTGTTGATCTTTGGATCCGACGCTTTAGATCAAGCCACATCACTAGCCGTTGGATTTCAAATTCAAATTTTTTTTACCGTTGGAAATCCAACTGTCCAGAAAACTAGTTGTTGGAAACCCAACAGCCATAACTAAACACATGGCCTCCCCATCAGAGTCGTTAGTGTGCCTGTGCATGCGGGCCACCCCATGTTTTCTTGTCGGGACGCGGGTGTTTCCCACGCACCTGGCACCAGAAAAAAAAAAAATTAAAATGCCCTGTGACGTCACGCTGGCGTCAGCATGACGTTAGATGGGCTTCTCAGAGCTCAGCACATTTTAGGCTAGCCTGGAAATCAACTTGGGCTAGGTGTTGTCCTAATCTACTGGGTTGGAAGGGATTGGCTGGGTGCCGGCCCAAATGTCCCCAGTGGACTTGCTCTAATAGAAAGAAAAAGAAAGCCTAAATGTTATAATGTGTTGGTAAAACTAGTACTCTATATAGGCTTAGACTTGTTTTACCTTTTATTCGTATGAGTTTCAATTAAAATTTACGAGAAAATTTTGTGTTCTCTAAAAAGATAACTTCATTCGTACAGACGCACACACTACTAAACTAAACACATTTATACTAGGATCACAACACAAACTTTCTTTCATCTCAATACAAAGAGTCGTGTCTAAACGAACATACGACGTGATTCTCTTGCTAGACCCAAGAGTTTCACCAAATTTACCTACTCATATGGTACCTTTTCAAATTTGCCATGGCAAAGCAAACCTATCATCTTTGGTCCAATTCTCTGTGCTATATTTAACCAAGACGACGTTGCCCCAAGACAACCCCTCAGGTTTTCGAGAGATTTTTCAATGTGACGGAAACACGGGATAGTATAATATGTATCATTATATAAATGATGTGATATATATGTTAAAAAGTTAATAACTTAAAAAATAAAATTTTTCACCACTTAAATAAAAGCACGTAATGTACCGTATCCCGTTTACAATGAAAATTTTCTATATGTTTTCTTGGTGCCACGGGTCTCAACTCCCAACCGATTGGGAACTGAAATGGCGGGATCTGATTGGGCGAAAGTATCATCTATCCTCTGATGCCTTAAAAACGGAAAATTTTTAGGTGTACCGGGTACACCAAATTTTTTTGGTGTACCCTCACTCATTAGAATTTTTTTGGTGTACAAAAAGTGAGGGTGCACCAAATTTTTTTGGTGTACCCTCACCATTATGAGTGAGGGTACACCAAAAAAATTTGGTGTGCCGGGTACACCGAAAAATTACTCCTTAAAAACATGCGATCTTAAAGTAAACAGTGTCCGTCGACACAAAGAGGAAAAAAAAAAAAACCAGAATTGGAACAGTGTGTGCAAACACACAGAAGAACAAAAGCATCATCGGCCTCATCGTACTTGTCTTTCCAGTTAAACAACGTGAGAAGAACAAAGGCAGAGCCGCTCGTGCGGCCTCCGAGATCAAATTCGTGTCAGAATTTTAGCCACTACCCACGATTTCTGCCGCATTTTGTCGCATAAAGTTGTCGTCTTTTTTTCTCGATGTCTCCGTCTGTGTCGTGGGTTACGGGTTGCGGGAGGTGAAACCTGCGTTCGATTTGATTGAACCCGAAAAAGATTCGTGCTTTAGGCTCCCTGAGATCCGTAAGAGCCCTCGATTCTTTTGATTTCGATATGAATTTTGGGTTTATTTATGCATGCTGCATTTTTCTCTGATTATTTTATTTTATGGGATTTAATTGATAATTTTATTAGTTTGTTTGAATCTCGTTTTGTTGTGGTGTGCTTTGTTCTTGATTTTTGGAGTTTCTGTAATTGATAAATTGTTGGTTAATTTCGAGTTTATGAGACTGTGAGTCTGTGACTAAGAAGAAAACGGAAATGGGGAACTGAAATTTGGAATTGCAATTCGATGCGATATATGATTCAATGATTTGTGTTTCGATCAATGTGTAATTTGGTTTGCGTCGAGTTGAGCTTCGGAGTTGTGCTAGTCTTTGCCGAGAGGTTGGTTTCGAGGTTCCAAAGAATGAATTTTTCGAAAACAACAACCAAGCCTTATCACACTAAGTGAGGCCCGCTCTATGAATCATAGAACGCCACTTCTCGGTTTTGAGAATAAAATTTTTGAAAAATTTGAACTAGTTTGATTTGTTTTTCGCAGTATGCTCTTGAAATTCGTAATGCATGCTATTTTAGTGGCCATTGTTCATCGTTGGCTGGCTTTTGTATTGATAGGTTTCCTTGTCATTGTCTCGGTATATTTGTTTAATTCGAATCTTGAAATTTATGCTAAGAATTGGACTTTCTTTTTATGAGTAATTCAAATTGTATGGGAAAAGGACTCGGTGGGGATCACAGTCTACAACATAAGTGTACCTCAACTCATCAAGGTAGTCGAGTAGTTGTGGAGTTTGGATAGAATATGGAACATACTTTCTCCATTTTTTTTTTATACATGTAAGGATCAGCCCTATATTTCTTTTCATTTATTTGGAAAATGTCCTAATTGGTTTGGGGAATTGCAAAAAACATTCAGGCACATCATGGCGACAAAAGGGAACTCAGGAGATAACAGAAGTCGAAGCTCCATGTCAATTGTCGTTTTAGCTGGCCTGTGTTGTTTCTTTTACATATTGGGTGTGTGGCAGCGAAGTGGTTTTGGGAAGGGAGATAGCATAGCCATGGATATTACCAGTCATACGGACTGCAGTATTCTATCCAGTCTTGTAACCCATCATTCTGGGACTGACGGTTCTGAAGGAGTTGTCAAAGAGTTCAAATCATGTGGCAATCGCTATATTGATTACACTCCCTGTCAAGATCAAATGCGAGCAATGACTTTCCCCCGAGAAAATATGAATTACAGGGAAAGACATTGTCCGCCTGAAGAAGAGAAGCTACATTGCCTTATTCCGGCACCCAAGGGATACGTGACTCCATTTCGATGGCCCCAAAGCCGTGACTATGTACCTTATGCCAATGCTCCCTATAAGAGCCTGACAGTTGAGAAGGCTGTTCAGAACTGGATTCAGTATGAGGGCAATGTGTTTAGGTTTCCAGGTGGTGGAACACAGTTTCCTCACGGAGCAGATGCATATATCAATGAACTTGCAGGTGTCATCCCAATGGACAATGGGATGGTTAGAACTGCATTGGACACTGGATGCGGGGTAATTTCAATTTCTTTTTTCATTTTCCACCCCTTTAAATATCTTGGCTGTTAATACTGCTATTCTCAAATACATCCGTACTCGTCCCTCGTTAGAACTTACAACCCAATTCTCAAACACGGAGCTTTCGTTGCAGATTGTCTTAGTATTTATATTTAGCCTATGCAACTTACTTTTTCTTCTATTTGATTTGTCCCCCATGTTGGTTCATACTTCAGGTTGCCAGCTGGGGTGCCTACCTGTTTAAAAAGAATGTTATAGCAATGTCATTCGCACCAAGAGACTCTCATGAAGCACAAGTTCAATTTGCTCTGGAAAGAGGTGTTCCAGCAGTTATTGGCGTTCTCGGAACTATAAAGCTGCCTTACCCTTCTAGGGCCTTTGACATGGCTCACTGCTCTCGTTGCCTGATTCCGTGGGGTGAAAATGGTGATGCTCATAAATTAGTCACTGATATTGTTTTTTTATGAAATTTTAGTGATTTTCATTCCCCGTTTTCTTTGTGCGAAAGGGCGAGCTTTTATTATAATTTTAAGGATATCATTTATAACATGAAATCTTACGTGGACTTCTATTGCAGATGGAATGTACATGATGGAAGTTGATCGGGTTCTAAGACCTGGTGGTTACTGGGTGCTTTCGGGTCCTCCTATTAACTGGAGGAATAATTATGTAGCGTGGCAGCGCCCCAAAGAAGAACTTGAAGAAGAACAGAAGAAGATTGAAGAGGTTGCGAGACTTCTTAACTGGGAAAAGAAGCATGAGAAGGGTGAAATTGCCATCTGGAGGAAACAAACAACTTCCGAGTATCGTCGTGACCAAGATCCCCAACCAAATATGTGTGAATCCAATAATGCCGATGGTGTTTGGTATATCACTTCATTTGATCTACCGACTCTTTTACAATTTTGATTGAGCATTTGTTGGTTATCAGTCTAATTTGAGCATTTTTTGCCATTTCCAAAGCAGCATTTAACCTTTTTCTGTTTTGTAGGTACAAGAAGATGGAGTTGTGTGTAACTCCTTTTCCCGAGACTTCAGATTTTAATGAGGATGCTGGTGGGCCATGGAAGCCATTCCCGGAGAGGCTTAATGCTTTACCTTCCAGAATATCTAGTGGTTCTATCCTGGATGTATCTGCTGAGACATTCCAGGAGGACAATAAGGCATGGAAGAAACACGTAAATGCTTATAAGAGGACGAACAAGCTAATGGATACAGGAAGGTACCGCAACATTATGGATATGAATGCCGGTCTGGGAAGTTTTGCTGCTGCTCTTGACTCTCCTAAATTGTGGGTTATGAATGTCATGCCTACAATAGCTGAGAAAGACACATTGGGAGTTATATTTGAACGTGGATTGATTGGCATTTATCATGATTGGTAATTCTCGAACATTTCTTTTCTGTTTGTTCTCTGCGACAATGATGTTCGCAAACTGGACTCTAAATATCCTGAGGATTAGGATGTAAAATAGCATCTGTCTTGCTGCTTAAAACCAATCATTCATCCAGAGTCTTGCTCTTGGCTTTCGTAAATTATGTTTTCTTGACATGCTATTCTGTTTGATAATCTTTTCATCTTCCACCAGGTGTGAAGCCTTCTCCACGTATCCAAGGACATATGACCTTATTCACGCAAATGGTGTTTTCAGCTTGTACAAGGATAGGTACGCCGTGTTTTTATCCTTCATGTTAATATCGATTGCAAATGGTGTCTTTCCAATCAATCAAAGGCACTCGATTCTTTTTGTACTAACAAAAGGTCAATGCAGGTGCGATGCTGAAGACATTCTTCTGGAGATGGATCGCATTCTGCGGCCTGAGGGAGCAGTGATATTTCGTGATCACATGGATGTGCTAGTCAAGGTGAGCAAACTTGTGAGAGGAATGAGATGGAACGCGAAAATGGTGGACCATGAAGACGGCCCTCTTGTTCCCGAAAAGGTATTGTTTGCGGTTAAACGATATTGGGTTGCAGGTGAAGACAACTCTACAACCTCAGATTGAATAAGAAACGCGCTCGTCTCCTATTTTTTGGTGATTGCCTTGTTCTCACCCCTCTTCTTTAAGTAATTAAGCCATTTTTTTCTTTTTCTTGGTCCTTCAGTGTTGCAGCTCTACAGCATTTTCTTTGAGTTACTGTTTAGTTTATATATATATATATCCTTGTAGTTGTAGATCGACCTGCTAGTGGATTAAATTAATGATTTAATTCAATTTTAAATGCTGCATAATGTGATAGTACATTTTGGTGTGGAAAGTTGGAGGTTTTGCAAGCAAAACAACACTGCTTTTATAATGTTAAAATTTATCGGGATATTGTTGCGACAGCACAATTGTGCGTTTTAACTTTTTCATATGGCCAGTCAACTTGGGATCCTAACACCAGTGTTCTAAAAATCGGTCTAGTGGAGCGCTCGGCTGTGACCAGCCATTTTGATTAATGCATAATCGTGAAGAAAAGCAGACAGTGCATTCAGTGGCACCCAAATGGGCGCCTGGGAAGGCATGTAGGGCAAGTCGGATGGACGGTTTGGCAAGGTGCAGGCCTTTTCCTTCACCGGATCTGCAATTGCCACTTACAAATTAGGCAAGATAGCGGCGGCGAGGGGTAAAGTAAAGTTGCAGAAGGCAGATAGGATTCTTACGCGAGAAAGAAGAAGCAATTTTTTCAATTTGGAGAAACGACATTGCTTTATCTGAGGGGGAAATTGTAGCAATAGTCATTCAACTTTAACCCGATTGGAGCAATGGTCTCTCAACTTTATTTCCGTGACATTGATCCCTCAACTCATCAAAATATGTAGCTATGATCCTTTTCATTAACACCATTAATAGTTCCATTAAATTCAATCACGTGCGTGGCACGTGAGACTGTTTGTAAGGATAAATAAGGAAACAAATTGTTTCCCAATGGTTGAAATCGATCCCACGCAAAACCCATTCGCAGTTGAAACTTCCTCCATGCAGCCCATTTGGCCACCCGATTACCACCTAGCGATTTTTAGAATACTGCCTAACACAACAGCATCTCCGTTGCATGGAAGTCCCTCTCTCGTTTATTAATTAGTGACAAAATGAAGAGTACAAGGCACCTAATGTGATGAGGGAAAGAGGTTGTCGAATGATTGCAATTAAGCCCTAAGAATGTAGGACCCTCCCACAAGCCTACTTAATTGAAACTGGTTCTCAGGAGGTCTAGTCAATCTCCCAACCCTCCAAAAGCTCCCCGTCTTTCCAAAGCAGCAAAGCTCCTTTTTCTATTTTTGTGCTTTCTCCCCTTGTTAAATTTTAACCATACTCTGAGAATCAAGCCTTAAGAAGCCATGGAAGGAGACGCCAAGACCGGGACTCATACCCGGGACGCTTCGTTTTCTTCTTACCTCAACAGAGCAGAAGGTAACTTTGTACTCAAGCTTGCAGGATCAGTTCAGACTCCGAATCCCCCTCCTGCCACGAAGACTGAGGAGGGTGAAATCAGTGTCTTTGGAGCAGAGAAATATTTCAACATGATGCTGGAAGATGACGGTCCACGAATTGCGGACTATAACACAAGCAAACTTGGGCAGAAGAAGGAAGAAAATAGAGGTGGTCAGAAGCACAAGCAACCAAAGAGCAGGCCAGGAACTCCGAGTACTTGTTCTGAAGTGAGTTGGAACAGCCAAAGCGGCTTGTTACCTTCGATGAGAACCACGTCTCAGAGCAAGAAGAAAAAGAGAAATGGAAAGATCAATATCTTTTCGGGTTTTAGCTGCAACGGATCTTGTTCAGATAAGAAATCCATTTATATTCATGAGATGAATGCCAGGCATGAAGGTGGCGGAAATAAAGATTTTAGGAAGCAAAATGTTGGGAATATTGATCACAATCCCGCTAAGCAGCCTCAACCAAGATTTAAGGCAAGGGATGAGGTTTACTACTCTAGCTTTGAAAGATCAGTCAAGGAAGAGCATTTTGCATTCGCAAATTTGAATTCCGGTGCGAAGAAATTGGCGGCTAAATCACAGTTGGAAGAGAAGAAAATAAAAGACCTTCATCCACGAAAATCACTGGAGGTGTTTGGATCCCAAAGTATGAAGGGAGACAATGTAGCAATAAATTTAGAGAGGAGATTGTCCATGCTAAATTGGGATGCCATTCCGAAAGCTCCAATGATGAATGAAGATGCGGAGAGTGATGCGAGTTCGGATTTGTTCGAGATCGAGAACCTATCTGGGAATGGGATACCTATGGCATCCGCCACCAGGGATGACTCAAGTGAGACCGGCATGGAGAAAATGGCGGTAAAAGGTCGAACACCGGCTCCAACAACGACTGGCAAGGCAGTAGGAGTTGCTCAAAGGTTGGAACCTTCAATGTAAGTAGGGAAAGTTACCATCTGAAACTGTTAAAAATGCAACCTTAAATTGTTCAAAGTTCGAGATTATCACTTTCTGATTTTATCTTGTTCATGTATTTCATTTCTAGTAGTTGATTACATGAACTCAATTTAGACCATAAAAACGATACGTTCGAATGAAGAATCAAACCTTACCAATAGGTCAAATTTACAGTCTCGCTGTTGCCTTTGAAGAATGTGAAGTCTCATGTTGGAAACTTGACAAACTAAAATACAACATATAATTTCACGCCAAGTGAACTGTTCATGCGATTAAGTTGAGAACAGCATCAGTGTTGATTGGTCGGGTAATCTCATAAAATAACAACAATTTCTTTGAATTTCCTTAGGTCATTAAAAGTCAAAACACCCCAAAAACATTGAGAGCAGAGATTCCACACTCCCGGGGCCATTTTCCAACCAATTTCCCCACCTTTTTAGTTGTGGTTTATCTTGTTTTCTTGATTTGCGAGTGGCCGGCCATTCATGTTTTGGAGCTTTTTTAACGACTATTAACAGAAGCTGCTTTTTAAAGGACTTTAACAGCAGCTGCTTTGGCAGGTAGTCGGCAAATCCGTATCTCAAATAAGAAACGAAATGGCCCTACAAATGGAGGTCATGCTTCAGAAAGTGGTAGCACTCATTCGTCGGGGTTGCCCTAAAACTTTCTTTGCAGCCCGACATGGGCACATGATTGAGAGAAAAATCACAACTTACCACTGTTAGATAAAAAGCTTCTGTCTTGTCAACGAGTCAGCTGTAACCGAAGCTATTTACAGCTAACATAACTTGTAAGACTCATCTTGGGTTGTGAATTATTTTGAGAACCGAATTACTTGAAAGCCAAGTAAGTTAGTCTCCAATTTATTTGACTCTCATCGTGATTTATATTTGATTGACAAGAATCATGGAACCAAGATACTCTAGCTAACTATTTGGAACCCTAATTCACTAAGACATATTGTACATTTCTTGGTGGGACAACATTTAAGTTCAATGGTAATTTGGTTTATCTCTTTATTAACTTAATAGGCAGTTTAATTTAGAGGAACCATAACCACTATATTAAGAGTGTCCCTGCTCTCACAATACATGTGTTCCATTTTGAGCAAATCCTATTTTTGCTAGAACACTTTTGGTTGCTGAGAGTATAAGACTCGTTTGTCATCTAGAAAAGATATATCTACCATATTACACATATAAGTTTATTACTATTTCACGTTAATTTGGTTTATTGCATCGTGATCCTAACGTCTTGTTATTGTTGTGCCTTTCAAAATATATCTTACATAACTTCTTACATGTAACGAGTTGAGTATCTTCAATTGATCACCGCACATCTTTCTTTTCTTGTGATTTATATATGATTGATGAGAAGGATGAACAGTTAAGGAATATCAACATAATGAACCGCCCAACACATGATATATGATATTAGCAAGTTGGGTGGAAACATTCAATTCTGTAACTGTCTTACAAGTAAAGGTGGATCCCATGCTCTCTTATTTCCCTTTCATGTAATAGAAAGTAGGGTTGACAAGTAAAATACTTCATCAACAAGATTTTTGTCTGATAACGAGAGTAAGAATTTCGCATCGGGGAGTTGAAGCCTTACAAAATAGTTATATGATCTTAAGTCTCTCCACATATATAACGCGTATAGTGTAAGTAGTTAAGAGCATTTACTTGTCTATCCACGCATTGTCAATATTAAAAAAAATCCTATTGACTGCATTTCAGAAAGCTTGAATGGTAAAATTCATGTGTGACTCCATAATGAAAGGGGCAATCTCATATTCTTGGTATGTGAATCTACATCAAGTGCGCATTTTATTTTTTCATTGAGACCGAACCTAAACTTGTGCTTGAGAGATAGTTGTCCATACAATAATTTTAAGGATTATCGAGATTCAAGAACTTTGATTTCAAACCCCATTTCAAACATGATAAGTTTTGGATTTGAATGCTCACATTCTGACATGATATCAAACGTGATATTGACACGTCCCACACATTCTAACAATCTTATCTTAAAGGAAGGAATAAATATTTCTTAGATGATACACCAGCAAAATGACATTAGGGATTGAGAGGGAAATATGGACCCAAATTTAAGAATTTGGCTGTTCATTCATTCAATGTTGCAGCTTCCTAGTAGTAGTAGAAAGAATTAATGTAAAAAATTGCAGCTTCTGAAAACTTGGTTCATATGCTTGATGTTGAAGTTCTTGCATATTATTATGTCATGATTTAATTTGTAAAACTCCCACAAAAAACATATGTTCTGTGCTATAAACTTTACTTAAAAAGCTAATAATTCTCACAACGTTGCACAATGTTACTAATTCACATTTTATATTATGATTTACGAGGTCTAAACGATGGTATCTACTAATTGTTATGGAAGGAGGCACAGCCACAAAAACAGAGAGTCTCTCAAGCTAATTAAACAATAAATGTTCAGTGTTTTGAGACCATCAAGAAGCGTAGGAAACTTCCATCTCTACATATTTTCTGGGACGAAACAGATCTGATTGAACAACGGACAACCTGTGGTGAAAGAGATGCATATTTGATATTCCTCATCAAAAAATTAGTAGCCTTGATCAAGTTTGTTTTCCTGAAATCTTCTGCAGCTTGACGAGAGATTTTTTTAAGCATCGGGTATTCAAGTGGTACTTCAAAATGTCATAGTACAAGCGAAGAAAATGATTATTTTTAAGTGTCCCTCAACTTATTTGAAGTATCCGCAAGAATACCGGGCACTGAAAAAAATTTCTCCAGCTCGACATCCTATGTCCGTTGCATGCAGACAATCTAAGGAAGCAGATAATTTACCTTCCATGCACAATTACAACACACGTAGATTAGCAGAGAATTTACCTTCCATCCTATGTCCAGCTTGACTTCCTATGACGATGATCACACAGTCACGCTAAAAAACAATCTTTGATAAAACTGTGGTGTGTGGAGTTCAATGCTTTTAATAAAAACTCATTGCTTCCCAGATTCATTCCTGTTCATCAGCAAGTTCCGGTACTTGTCCATGATCGGAAGACCGGTTGCTGAGTCCCTGGTTTTACTTGAGAAACAAAAAAATTATCATCTTTTAGAGTCCATTTGATCACAATTTTGTTTTTAGTTTTTATCGGTAGAAATAGAATGAAAGGACACGACAGAAAAGAGGGTGAAGACAGGATGGAGAGAGAGTGGTGACATCCAAGTATTTAACAAATTTTTTACAATTTATTGGAAAAATAAAAATGCAAAATAAAATTTATCTATTTTCTGTCTAATCGAGGGTCGTGACCTAGGCAAGGGGGCTAAGTAGGCGTCTAGTCAGGTCTAGGCGTTATTTCTTAATTTTCAAACGTTTGACGATTAATCAGGACAGTGACGGGCCACCTAGGCAAATACTTTTAGAACAGTATTAAATATTCGCTTTTCTGTCAGATTTCAAATCCCCATCTTCTATTGATGAAATAACCAACTTGTTCACATGGATCTTTGTAAGTATCAATACAGTTTCTTTATGTATTTCAAAACACATTTGATTTTGTTTAAATTAAGTAATTCTTGAGCGGAATTTTATCATCGTTGTTAATTTACTCATGTTATAATATATGTATATTTTTTAATATATTATGGTGTAAACATGTCATTCACACATATAATAAGATGTTACAATATGCTTATAGAAGTGGAAAATGAAATATATTTATAGAAGTGGAAAATGATTTATAGAAGTGGAAAATGGCTTTTTTTTTTTTTTTTTGTCAATGACATTTTCTTTCGATGGTTGAGTAATATTTACAATACGCTTGACCCAAACCAAAATAATAATAATAATAATGGGCCTGTGATTGTTTTAAAGCATTTGATCCGGCCCAATATGGTTTTATGGGCCGGTCAAACGTCGACCCATCTTTTATTACTACATGTCAATAGCTGAGTGGCTCATTTTCCGTACTTTAACCGTCGGTTCCCGCAGCGGATTATAAACCCCCCCAAAACCCTACCCCTTGTACTCTCTCACACACACTCGCATTGTCACTCGAGGAGAGGAGAGAGAGAGAGAGCGGTAGGGTTTTAGAGAGAGCATCAGAATTCAGAGCTCGAAGAAAGATGGTGGCTGACAAGGGCAAGAAGCTGAAGCTCTCAGAGAAACCCGAGGACGAGAACGCTGACCACATCGATGAGAAGCTCGTCCTCTCGATCGAGAAGTTGCAGGAGGTCCAAGACGAGCTCGAAAAGGTTGTACCCTCATACCTTTCTCTGCATATTCTTGTTGTACCTGCATAATTGAACCAAACGGAACATACAGTTTCGGTTTCGACGATGTTCTGTTTGGGAAATTTCTGCCAATTCAGGGGTCTGTGTTCTTGTGTTCATGTTTTTGAAATTCAATTGGTTCCTAGGGTATGCATGAGTCGTAAAGGGATTCGATTTTCGGGTTTTGGTTTTCTGGATATAGGGAAATTAACCCAGAAAAGGATCTGTTGGTGGCTTACTTGGTTTTGGTAGAAATTTGGATTTTTTTTTTTTTTTGTTTTAAGAATTTAAAGTCGCTTTGTTATATAGACGGCCATAAGTGGGAACTCCACGCTTCGCATTTTCATATATGTTGTAGAACACTGGATGCTCTTAACTAATTGTTGCAATTGTTAACTGTGGAATGTGTTTCGTTTTTGTGAAGTTTGGATTGCTGCTTTTGGTTATAAGATTTTCTCCTTGTTTGTTTATATTCCTTACCATAGGTTGGGTTACATTTGACTAGAGAGTAAAAGGGAAGGAAAATAACTTAAGGTTTACATTTTGTGAAGTTTGAATGCATGAAAATATAGAGAAGAATGTACGATTTTGGTAGCTTTTGATCATAATAGTACTCGTCCAATCTTGCCTATTTTGGAAAGAATTTGTGAGAGGTAAAATCAGCATTAAACGGCGGTTCCTCAATTTTGTCTTGGACCCCAAATGAAAAGTTGATCTTGTTGAAAGAATGCATAATAGCTCACTGATCAAGCACTCTCGTGACAAAGACCAATGGAGATTGGGGCGTAACCGAACTTCTTTTAGACGAAGACAAAATCTGGTAGCCAATCGTTGGCTTTGAATAACCAGCTCAGCAATAAATTCAATTATTCTATTCCATAACGGGGCGGGGTTGTGCACATGACGAGTGACGTAAGTGCATAAACTGTCAGCCCGATTAAGGAAAATATAGAGTTGTTTTCTTTTGTATTCTGTTCCCATTTTTCATGTTTATTATAACCAAACAACTAGTAGTGGCTAAATTAATTGTAGTTTGTAAGGCGAGGCTAAATTTGATTGAGGTGGGGTTGAACCCATGCTATATTTTGTACTTTGTGGCTTTGTTTGTAAGGCCAAGCATTTCATGAATATGAATGTGTAGTGCTTTGTTCTCTTTTAAATGAATTATGTTTCTTATAAAAATGCGTATTGCTTCGAATTTTTATAATCGCACGGGGTCATTTTTAAGTTCTGAGACATACTTGTTTCAGTGGCTACAATTCACTTGTATCAATTTGGACTTATGGATTATCACAGGGGACCAACCTTGTTCATTTGATTTTAATGTTTTCTTATGAATGCTTTATAGATCAATGAGGAAGCAAGTGATAAAGTCCTGGAAGTGGAGCAGAAGTATAATGAGGTACGCAGGCCAGTCTACGATAAGCGAAATGATATCATCAAGTCCATCCCTGACTTTTGGTTAACCGCTGTAAGTTATCTATCCTTATTTATATGCATATGGGAAGAATTTATTATGTTTAAGTGGTATTTAAATAATTTATTTTCTCCTTACTCTGCAGTTCTTGAGCCATCCCGCGCTCAGTGAACTTTTGACTGAAGAGGATCAAAAGGTTAGCATTTGTTCCCATGTGACTCCAAAATTAATTTGTGCATCTTTCTGTTTATAACTTTAACTAATCCACCAATAATAAATATCTGTTACTGGTCATTGATTATGCAATTCAATTACTCGCAGCCCCTTCTTGCTCTTCCATAATCAACGAAATCATGGAGATTCTTTATTTTAAGCTTTCAGATTTGATTCTTGTTTGCCCATCATTTCTAGTAGTCTGGGTTCATCGTTCCTTTTGTTTTCATAGATTTTCAAGCATCTAACTTCTCTGGAAGTCGAGGACTTCAAGGACGTGAAATCTGGTTACGCCATCACGTTTGTGAGTTTTCTCTTTTACTTTGCCTTTTTATCTTTGAATCATATTAAGGCGTGTTTTATGTTGTATTTCAGTTACAGAGTATATTGAGATTGTAACCATTGTTTATTATTTAAAATGTACAGGTGTTCAGCCCCAATCCTTATTTTGAAGACACAAAGCTTACGAAGACCTTTACTTTTCTTGATGAAGCAACAAAAGTTACTGCTACATCCATAAAATGGAAAGAGGGAATGGTATAAGATTTATCTTGCATTCAATTTATATCTGCTGGTGAATTATGTTAGGGTATTACAACTTACTGCATGCCTTATTTGTGAAGGGCATTCCTAATGGAGTTAATCATGATAAGAAAGGGAACAAGCGGCCTCAGGTTGAGGAAAGGTTTGTGATTGGAACCTGTTAGGATGAACCTCATGAAAACACTTTCATTAGTTTTTCGAATTACCTCATATTGACTGAAACTCCTCCAACCCTTGTTGTTTTCTTTACAGCTTTTTTAGCTGGTTCAGTGATAGTCAGCACAAAGATATTTTGGAGGATGAGATTCATGACGAGGTTAGTTTCTAGTTGTATTTCAATATGGTATCAAGGGCTATGCATCAATCTCAAAATTTTCTTACTCTTGCTTTCTCAACTTTCACTTCATACTGCAGATTGCGGAGGTTATTAAGGAGGATTTGTGGCCCAATCCTCTTACTTATTTCAACCATGTAACTTCTGCTTTACCTTACTTCCCTATTACTCAAGCATAACTTAAGTATTTCGCAGAAGCTTTTACTGCTTGCTTAATTTTCTAATGGTAGCTCATGTCCGCTTTGACATAGGAGGCTGATGATGATGAGGAATTTGATGATGAGGAAGCTGATGAAGAGGTACATGTAGATTCTTTTGGGTATATATGTCAAGTAAAGTGAAAATACTCCAAATACAGACTACCTTTATGCTACAGTTAACTGCCAATGGAATATGTACTTTCTAAAGCTTAAATGTTTGTGGCATGCACAAAGATTTTGAGGCTCACATAAGGAATTTTTGTACTTTCTAAAGCCTAGATATTTTAAGCTTTGCCACGTGATTCAAAAATGAAGATAAATTTGAGATGTTATTTTCTGACTTATTATTATGTCTTGCCATGAACTACATAAATGTGTAAGAAATGTTGATAAATTGAACCTTGCAAGCAGAATTCTGTTAGGCCTTTTGCATGTTAGAGTCGTAGGTGGTCTAGAATATGCTTGTGGAACCCATACTTGTAGCTTTTGGCATCTTTGAAAAAGTGCCTACTTTTGGTGAACTGATGTTAGTGATATCACACTGTGCAACTCCTGCATTGTTAGATTCATGTGTGTAAATGTATTCTCGTGGAGTTCTCGTTCATCCAGTTTCTGTATAAATTGGAGGCATATATCAAGTTGCCTTTCAAATAGTTTTGGTAGTTGTGTGTATGCAGTTGTTTACTGTGCTTCCATTTGAACTGTCCCGCAACATATGTAGCTCCTTGATGATATAACTAAAATGAAAATTATTGCAGGAAATGCCATATCTTAATCTTTGAGGTTTGACTATTTTGCAGGGAAAGAATGAAGAGGACGACTCTGACGATGATGAGGATGACCAAGATGATGATGAAGATGGTGATGAGGATGACGGAAAATAAACATTCATCTGGGTCTTCAAATCTTTTAGCATTTGCTGCTTTGTTAACAGCTTGTGTAAAGTGAGTCTACAGTAGTTGATACGTTAAGTCTTAAGGTTACAGGGGGTGACCATCATGACTCTTTCTTGACAGCGTTCTGTCATGCAGGTGCCTGACTGCTCTCATAGGCCAGTCTGGTTTTCCGGCTCTGCTGTTACTCTCTCTCCGTGGCGTTTCTCTGTTACGATGGCTTGTGGCTTCTCCCTGATATGCAGGTCTCTAGATGACAATATTAGAATGGTCTTTTCCTTTTGTTTTTGAATACCTCAGTGAGGATATATTATGGAGTTGGAAGTTCTTTGGCATCATTTTATTATTTAATTCTAGTAGTATTAAGTCATCGAGAAATAATTTCCGCATACCCTTTCTGTACACTCGGGGGCGGGTGTACAGAAATCACTTCCTAATTCATGTACAAGTGTGCTGGCAATCTCTCTTTAGGGACCGCCTGTAAGGGGATCAGCATGTAGCTCACCAAACCTGTGCCCTCGGACATGTCGATCTCCTTGGGCTGGACCCCTCCGGGCAATGTCCAACAAAAGCCATGCAAAAGGTGACCCAGCATTGATGTAACAAGGGTAGTGCCTACCTGTGCTGCCGGGCATGCGCGTCTTCCTGCACCAAACGGAAGAAGCTGAAAATCGTGACCCTTTGCCTCAATGTCTTGTTCGATGAACCTTTCAGGTCGGAAATTGAATGGGTCGGACCACTGTGTCGGATCGCGCCCTATTGCCCAAACATTTACATGAACAATGGTTCCCTTAGGAACATCATAGCCACCAATCTTGACATTGGCATTTGCCTTGTGAGGTAGCATCAGTGGGGTTGGAGGGTGCAGCCTCAGTGCCTCCTTGACAACGCATTTTAGGTAAGGAAGGCTTGAGATATCAGATTCGGTCATTACCCGATCGAGCCCGATAACGCGGTCGAGCTCCTCTTGGGCCTTGTGCTGCACCCTCGGGTTCTTGATCAACTCGGCCATGGCCCATTCAACTGAGACAGCAACTGTGTCCACTCCTGCAATGACCATATCCCAAACTAATCCTCCAACATTATCCTTACTAAGTTCATACTTTTCTTGAAGACCAAGCAATGCTCCCATGAAATGTTCCTTGGCACCGGCAACACTGCTAATCTCACCCTTAACCACATGCTCCTCCTTAATCGCTTGTATGAATTTGTCTTTGCGCGCCACGTGTCTCGAAATCTCCGTGTTCCGAAACCAAAAAACCCAGTTAAGCCACAAAATATCTACCAAAATTGGAAGGTATGCACCAAGCTTCTTTTCACTATCCAAAATCTCCGCAATCTCCAAACCTTGCTGGTCAAGCAACCCCTCTTCGTTCTCAAACCGCTTCCCAAACACCATCCTTGTAACATGGTTGAAAGCTACAGATCTCAAGTATTTTCTGACCTCCAAACATTTACCATCGGAATTGTTTCGATCTGCGAAAATGGACCGCACCATTTCTCTAACTTCACCTTCTCTAATGTGTCTGAAAATTTCAAGACTATTAGGAGAAAAAATCTCAAGCATACAAATTTTTCTGAGCTTTATGTAGTGAGGACCATAATCTGCCCACACAAGGTCCTCACCATTTTTTGTGATCCTAGCCATGTACGAGTCCCTGTGCCTATGTGCTAGTTTCTCATCATGTTCTTTGAGCACTTGCTTTGCCAATTCATGGTTCGAGACCACAATGTGGATATTCGGACCAAACCAGACCGACATGATCGGACCGAAAACTCGTGACAGATCAAAGAAACACCGACATGGAACCGCCCCCACGTTGTGAAGGTTTCCGATGATCGGCCATGGATATGGTCCCGGAGGCAGCATAAATCTTTGCTGGTTGTAGAGTTTGTAAGCTAGGAAGATGAAAATTATTGAGACAGGAAGCAAAACGAGAGCCATTTTAGAAAAGGGTTAATCGAGGTTGGCTTATGAGTTTTGTAATTCTAATTAACTAATTAGATGCCTCTCAATATATTAGGCATTGTTTTTGTGAGAGACCATCATGCATGCATGTTAACTACGTGGAGCATTCTTTTCGTGACAAAACCGTCATGCATGTAAATATGTTACAACACGGGGAATGCGTAATGTATTGCTTATTCTTTACACGCATATATCCTTAATACGGAAACGAGTAATATTAGAACATGTAATATTAATACACATCTATAATATCGTCAATTCATATTATAACACGTTAACATTGCACGTTAGTACGACGTCACATTGGAAATTTTTGGTCTTTGCACCCAACAAAACCCTAGAAGGACGTAGATTCATTCACTTTGGTAAAAATTTATTATTTAGTAGTGCTTTTATCAAGGTTATTCTAAAAAATTGGAACTTTCAATCAAAATGGTTCCTGAATTTGGGATTATTACTACTTTGGCTTTTTGACAGCATGTACTTGTAAGAGAAAAATAATATTTTTCATGTTGCTTTTATTTAAGCTTAATTGGAAATTAAAAAGTTTGAGGCGAACATGATTGATGGCCACATTAGTTTGAGGAGGAGAACATGATTGATGGCCATATTAGTGTCGTGCCACTTTCACTCGAAGGCTAAAAAGAGATCGAGTAGTAAAGCGTGAATACAAAGTTGCCAACTAGTATGAGTGTCTAGTTGATGAGTTTTGTAATTCTTTTTGTATTCGTTTTTCTCTTAGTGTTTTCTAGCTTGGTAACACGAGAATTTTCCTAATAATGAGTTTTACCTCGTTAAATCCTACATTGTGCGTGCACTCTTTATATTCTTGCTAAATATCAATGAGTAAGATTTAATTTGCATAATTGGTTAATTTAGACTAGATTTTGAATTAGACCTTCAGTTGGAATCCTTTAGTTTTTTATTTCTAAACTACAAATATAATGATCAATGTATACTGGCACAAGCATGTGGATTTCACTTCACAGCCAACAAAGTTGATAAATGCCTTTAAACAAGCACGTGCATTTGTTTTTATTTTTCTAACCACCGGAGGAAAAAAATGCAGTCATCGTATATGTGGCATAACAACTTATATGGCCTAGATATATTGTTACAAACCGTTTTATACTAATAAAATATGAATATGTGGACTAATATTTACAAATCTTATTTCATTAGTGCAGAATATCACCGTGACGATGAACCCGTGCTATATATGTCCTCTATTTATGACCATAAAAGCCGTTTATTTTTAATTTCTTTGCCTTTTCATTACATGCAGAAGGAGAATGAAATTAAATATATACCTCAAATGGCTTAAAGACATTCTTGTTAATTTGAAATTTTCATTCTTTTTTATAATAACTTTAAAAAAAATTCTACATTAAATTTATCTAAGCTAAGAAATAAGCTGGTATTCGAACATGAGGGAATAGCACACAATTAACTTGGACAAACCCAAATTTGCTTTTCTATAGTAATCTTTATTTTATTTTTTTTTGGAAAAATTCTATAGTAATCTTTATGAAGCTAAAAAGTATAAGTTGAGTTCTTCTTTTTCACATCCCGGCCCGGGGCGGATCACTTTCCGGGCCCGTTCCACCACCGTAGCACGATAATGTCCGTTTTGGGCTTACCATTCCCTCACGGTTTTGTTTTTGGGAACTCACGAGCAACTTCCCAAGTGGGTCACCCATCATGGGATTGCTCTAGCCCCCTTCTTGCTTAACTTTGGAGTTCCTACAAAACCCGAAGCCAGTGAGCTCCCAAAAGGCCTCGTGCTAGGTAAGGATGGGAGTATACATTTAAGGATCACACCCCTGGGTGATGTGGGATGTCACAATCCACCCCCCTTAGGGGCCCGACGTCCTCGTCGGCACACCACGATCAGGGTTAGGCTCTGATACCAAATTGTTACATCCTGGCCCGGGGTGGATCACTTCCCGGGCCCGCTCCACCACCGTAGCACGATACTGTCCGCTTTGGGCTTACCATTCCCTCACGGTTTTGTTTTTGGGAACTCACGAGCAACTTCCCAGTGGGTCACCCATTATGGGATTGCTCTAGCCCCCTTCTCGCTTAACTTCTGAGTTCCGATGGAACCCGAAGCCAGTGAGCTCCCAAAAGGCCTCGTGCTAGGTAAGGATGTGAATATACATTTAAGGATCACACCCCTGAGTAATGTGGGATGTCACATTCTTTATTTCTTTTTTGCTTTGTTATTATATATTAATTCAAATTTGGATACAATTAGTACTCTTTTGGATCCGATGCCAATGGTTTTTGCTTTTATTTTTTTACTGAAAAAGAACAAAGATATGAGGTGTAAAAGTAAGATTGTTTTCATATCAAATCTTAGGCCAAGCACTATAAAAGTAAATGTAAAAGGATAGGAGATTTTGTTATATTCTTTAAGGAAATGCTTTTTCTTTCTTATCATTCTTTTACTACATTTTTTATATGAAACATTTGATTATTTGGGATACAACAGCGACTGTATTCTTAGTCAACTACACAGTGCCATAATTTATGTGTTCTAACTTTTTTAAATGTGTGATTACATTGAAATACATTTATTGTAACATTCAAAATGACTGAAGAATTTTTCGTTATCTAAGACCAAGAAGTTTATTTATTAAAATGGGGGAAATGGAAGCTTCTTATAGCATCTCCACCATATTCAATAGCCCGGTGGACCGGCTGTTGCTACAACCCAATTGCCCCCAGCTAGCAGCTCCAGCCCATGCGGGCGATGGGGCTCGAGGGAGACTCGAGCGAGAGGCCAGGCGAGCATCAGTGCATGCGCCGACCTTGACATATCCTCGTCCTCCTTCGACATGTTGCTATTGAAGCTGAGGCTTCAGGCGGAGTTCTGCACCACTAGCTGCCGCTGTTGCGGCTGAGCCGCCAACTAAGACTGCTCCGTCTACATCATCTTCTCTTCAACCTCCTCTACTTCCTCTTCACAAAAACAAAAACCAGCCCTTTTCGTGAAATTCTCTATATTTTCTTATCTCTTTCTCTTTTGCTTTTGCTTTTGGAACGATGGGTTTTGAAATTTGTTATGGAAGTGCTCTGTTTTTTTTTTTTTTTTTTCTGTTTTTTTTTTTTTTTTGCAGAGGTTATGAATGGTTGAGGCTGGGAGCTGAAAGGCTGGTGTTAAGGGGTTTTAAAGTGTCAAGCCAGCAACTAATTGTGTTCTTTAGTTCCACCGATGCCGCATGCAACGCCACAGTTGGGTTCCTTGAGTTCTAGGGATTCCAAAAATATTATTTTTGAGCTTGATTTTTGAAGGTTTGAAGAGGAAGGAGGAAGAGAGCTAACGAGAGTGAGCTGGTAAAGAGGGAGAGAAAGAAAGAAAAAGGAAGAGAGAGATAGAAAGAAAAGAGAGAGAGAGAGAGGGAGAGAAAGGAAGAATTGGTCAAATGAGGGGAAAATGGAAGGGGTGATGGGGGTGTTTGATGGATTGGTTGAGGAAAAAATACTAATATTTTATTGCCTATTGCCATGACTATTCAGTTTTAGGGATGGAGATGCAAAAGGCAGTTACTGTTCATAAATGGCAGTTACTGTTTATTGGGTGGATTCAATAATGAGTTGCCCTAAGGGACCTTTGCAACGCTGGAGTTGCTCTTAAGCTTACCTAAGTCATTTTGCTTGTGTGGGCCACATACTTCAATGATCTGAACATTATTGCTAGTTAATTAATTCAACCTGCGAACAGATGTGAATTTGGAAAGGAACCGGATCCCCTCCAGATCCATATATACTGAGCCTGCTGAGCAGGCGATCCGGACCGTTGAAATTTGATCCAACGGCTACAATTATTATAACTTTTAGAGAGTCTCTTGTTTGTAGCAGTTGGATTAAATTTCAACAGTCCAAATCGCCTGCTTAGTAGGTTTAGTTTTATTAGATATGAAGGAGATCCGGTTCCAGGAAAAAAATTGTACTTATGCTTAGTCACTGTCTGCAGTGGACCTGTGATGGTGGCAGTGATGAAATTTATCAAATTTTGGAATTTTTTGTATTTTAGAGACTAGATGTAAAGTAAAGGGCAAAGCAAATTTGATTACTGGAAGCCAAAATAACCGCGTTGAGAATGTGTTGTAAAGTAATTTATAAGACACGATTATACAAGTACGTAGCGTCATATGCTATGATACAGCATTAAGTGAAAGTGTAACTACTAAAATTACACCATGTGTTGTCCATTGTCCATTGTCCAAGGCAGATATTTTGATAGTGTGATTGGTTCATTGTCTTTTCATGCTTAGCTGCTATGCTCTGATTGGACTTCCCTAAGTTTGGTTGGGATAAGACTTTCACTGTAGCCATGGATTTTAGCAACTTGGAACGACAGCAAAATGTCATCCAAACTGACCTTTTTCATTGGTGCAACAAAAGCAACAATCCATCTCAAAAAACTCATTGGTGCTACAAATTATCATCTTTCCTTCTTGCTGAGGCAAGGCACCACTATTGCTTGGGAATATATACTTAATTATTCACACATTTGAGTACGATTTAGATACAGTTCTTATATATATTAGGTATAATCTTATCCTTACTCTGAATTATTATAATGAGCAGCTAAGTACAAAAGATTTTCAAGTTCAGAAAAGTGATATATCTTTTAGTGGAGTAGCCCTCTTGACTTTCAAATAATGTTTCCCTTTGTTAAGCGGAAACAACTATATGAACCACAAAGCAACGTGCTTGCCTAGAGCCTAGTCTCAAAATTAACCTGCCCCTGGAAGTGGAAAATGGAAAACAGAATTTTCTCAAGCCCTAATCCGTTGCATGTGAATGCGGTTGCAATTTTTAGATTGATCGATCGATAGGTTCATTGATCATTCTCTAGGGTATAGATCAATATCAAGTCATTTAGTTGTATAAGTACGTATTCATGCAATCAAATTCATACTGTAGAACCCTTATAACTCCTTAATCATCATAGACCTGATAATATT